CAACCACACAACGCTACTTGAGAACATAGAACAATCAACGCTCCCTCCAGTTCTGAAGCGGTGAACTATGAACTACCTGAGCGGTCGGCATTCATCCGTACTATTTCAAGGTCAAAACTCCAAACTTAGAAAAATTAAACAGCGGGTTCCAGGGTGGTGTCCTCTAACTGCTACTGTTTAATTTCTACATCTCGAAACTCCCACAACCACCAGAGGGAATTTCCATGACCTCATATGCTGATGACTGCACGATACTGACGTCGGGCAATGGTATCGATGGCATGTGCTCGAAAGTTAACGGCTATCTCTCCGATCTTTCTCGCTTCTTGTCTGCAAGGAGCCTGACACTCTCTCCACTAAATTCATAGCGATCATTTTTACAAACTGGACGAAGGAGTACAGACTGGATTTAGACATTTCAGTCGATGGCATTAAAATTCCGACAGTCAACAACCCTAAAATTAATAACGAGCTTCTCTCCAAGCAATTTCTGCTGGGATGTTTTCGCAGAAATTCGGACGCATCGAACTTTAGACAAGCACTGACCGCCATTCACAGTGGAACCATCAACATCTTCCCTGACTCTTTCTCCGTGACTAGCGTACTAGGAGTCAAACCAACACCCATAACAGATGCAGAGCTCAAGTTGCCTCGTGAATCCAGAGTGACCCTCACGCAACTTCATTCTGAATATTGTAGTAGGTTAAACTTCTACTTATCCAGAATAGAACCCGACATACCAAATATACAATATTTCCAGCGTGAAATAAGTCTCCGCATGACACTAACCACCTCTTTGCATGCCCAACGAACCCCACTCATCTAACACCCATGTCGCTATGGTCTGACCCCGTCGAAACAGCTCTTTTCCTAGGCCTCCCGCAGCTGCATTAAATTGCACAGGAACACAAATTTGTGTACTATTTAGTACTGATCTTTCCCGATACGAACATAAATGTTGTGGGATAAACATGAAGATTCGATGACTGATGATATATTGTATCGACATCGTGCAAGGTGCAATGATCTAACGACATTGTCATTCCGAATTTACCAATCAGCCATTTCGGTAGGAGTTGACCAAATCGTAGTGCATCTAATCAACATAGATATAAACCGTGAAGCCCAGTATGATACTGTCGAATTGCGGCGACTATTACTCGCAATGTTCCACTACTAAATGATGAACAAAAATTAACTCACGATCGGACACTATTAGCCGGCACTTTGTTACTCTTTTAGACGATTTCAAACATCTGATTCCATCAACACTTACTTAATTTCATCGCCAAAGTACCATTGACAGCGAACATGCGCGTTCGTATGCTTCAAGTTTCATGTGTTGAAACTGTCTCAAAACAATTGTTATATTATGGTAGTAAAAAATATATTTCCAGACGTACACATAAAATATAAATTTCTTGGATGGCTGGTAGAAAGAGCGATTTTGTCAGTAGTAGTAGTAGAAAAACTAATTATTTTCGATGTATAAGTTAACACATAGGAATTGCCCACAAATAACATAAAAAACTTGCACTGCACTTATCTTCACCCATTTGCTCCAAACATATTCCGCTGACGCATGAGTTCAGTGGCCTGACTACTATGGTCAGCTGCGGCAACCTGATATTTGACTATGCTGGAAATGTCTACGTTATCGCTTATGCTTTTTGAGGGAACACATAGGAAAGATATGCTACGTTTACGTGGACGACGTCATAATTTTTCTTGAAAATGAGTTCGACCACGTGAAGCATATCGACACAATTTTAAAATGCTTATGCGATGCCGATATGAGGGTATCACAAAAGAAAACGAAGTTCTTCAAAGAGAGCATTGAATTATTGGGCTTTGTAGTCACCAAAAACGGGGCAAAAACTGACCCGGAAAAAGTTAGAGCCATACGGGAATATGTTGTTACTAAGAACTTATTCAGCTTACGATCATTCCTTGGCCTAGCTAGTCATTACAGGGAATTCATTAAGGACTTCGCGTAAATAGCGTGGCTTTTGACCAACATCCTCAAAGAAGAAAATAGCTCGGTGAGCAAACATATGTCCAAAAAGGTAAAAATTGAGTTTAATGAAATTCAACGAAACGCCTTTGAAATTTTGAGAAATATCCTGGCATCCGAGGATGTTATTCTCATGTACCTGGATTTCAAACAGCCTTTTGACCACTGACGACTGCATGGACAGCATCGGTGCGGTTATCAAGGAGGCAAACCAATTACCATGATTTCGCGAACGCTAAAACAAAGCGTGCGCTTCGCCACATGCCACAAACGAAAGGGAGTTATTAGCCATTGTCTAGGCAATCGGTAAATTGCAGAATTACCTATGTGGGTCAAAAGAGATCAACATTTTTACAGACCACCAACCAACCCCTCACCTTCGCTGTCTCTGATAGGAACACATATGCGAAAATCAAAAGATGGAAATCATACATTGATGAACACAATGCAAAAGTGTTCTATAAGAAATTTTTGTGGCGGATGCCCTATCCCGACAGAATGTTAACAATCTGGAAAATGAAATGCTGTCAGATGCTGCAACAATTTACTGTAAATTGCTTTAGGAATCGTTCTCGAAGAAGCCAAATTTCCGTTAAAAAGAGACATCATACTCTTCGGCAGAAAAATACGCCAAATAATATATTACAGATTTAAACATTCTATTCGAAGTAATTAAACCACTCGTTCGTTACAACTCAGTAAACGCGATTTAGTGTGATTTACCGACGTTAGCCAATATACTAATTGATTTGGTGTTAAATTTTCCGGTAACTAAGTTCTGGCACTGCCAGAATATCGTTGTCGACATTACAAACAAAGGTGAACTAACTGAAATTATCAAACAAATCCTTCGTGATTATTATTTTCCGAAAATGACAAAACTAGCCAATGAGGTGGTGATCAATTGCAAAACATGTACCAAAGGGAAACACGACAGACAGCCCAAGAAACAAATGCTTGGGGAAACACCAATTAAATCATACGCTTGAGAAATGCTCCACATTGGTATTTTTTCAACTGACAAAAAATCGTTCCTTACTTGCTTTGACAAGTTCTCGAATTTTGCCGTTTTACAATCGATCGCGTCTCGCACGCTAATGGATGTAAAAATACCCATTATCCGACTTCTTAATTTGTTTCCTCAAACAACATGATGCCTAGATAACATTGAAAGATCTAACCCGTACAGACAAAATAGAGTTTTTTTGATGTAGGCGAAAAAGTGTTCGAAAAAACAATAAAAGGTTAGAAAATAAGTTAACACCGCTTTGCACAGAGGAAAGGATTCAAGCAGACCTGGGTCTGTTCTTATTGAAGGGAGGGTGGTCCACAAGGGCAACCTTAAGTAGGAATTACTAACATGCGAGAAAATCGCACAGGCTAATGTTAATAGTTAAGCACACAACTATCTTTATTCGATTTTCTTCTATCTTTGCAGGATTAAATTTGCAGTCCTTTTATTGTTAGGAGTCGTATATCGTATGGGAACAAAGGGACTATTTAAGGCATTCGAGTAACCTGACAGAATTTGCTAGCATGTTAGAAGAGACCGCAGAATTAGCAGAGTTATTCCCTGAATCGCATATGAAAGTTGTTAAACGTGGGTATAGAACATATTAAAAATTTGTTGTCCGTAATAAAAGTGCACCATAGAATGGCAAGAAGTCTGGATTTCTTAGGCTCAGCACTCAAGGTAATAGCCGGAACGTCAGACGCCGCCGATTTTTGCGACCGCCGACTCATTCAATACATGAATTATTGTCGGTGTTCAGAAGTTCACAACAGCTATAAAATAAGCGAGGACGGTCATAGGAGGAAGAAGTTAACACATAAGAATTGCTCACACATAATATATAAAACTTGCACTGAACATATCTTTACCCATTTTCTTCAATCATATTCTGCTGACGCATGAGTTCAGTGGCCTGACTACTATGGTCAGCTGCGGTAACCCGATTTTTGACTATGCGGCAAATGTCTACGTTTTCGCTTATGCTGAGTCGGCTTGCCGGCTGTACCTTTGTAGCTTATGGGGCCAGCTTTTAGGTTTAGCCTTGAATCCAATTTTATACCACAATCAGATAGTATTTGGCTTTCACTAAATGTACCTGCTCCGGCTTTGCCGTTATAAAATACTTACTTATTATTGATATAATCACTGAGCCACAAAGCCAGCGATAAGAGAGCGAAGTAAAACTTCCAACGCAATCAACCTAAGGAGTTTGCTACAATCTTCTCGCACATTGACTACGAGGTACCTGGACAACGATCGACTGCGCTGGACTACATCCAAGCTAACACGCGTTGTTAGGCATCTATCAACAACGCGGGACCGCAAATCATTAACTTATAGATAGCTATCAATAATTGTTATTTAATATATATTTGTTATTGTACTTTAATAAAGAATAATTTATTAACTTAGATAAAGTATACTTAAATTGTCTAAAACTCTTCATGCTATTTCAATTATAATTACATCCACCAAACACTTAGTTATTTCTAAAAATCTTTTCTAAAAAATAATTATTTAAAAAACATTTCCTAAAAATAACATTCATATATGACAAAACAACGTTTCCCCCGTCAGCTAGTATATATATGAAATTGTTTGAATTAAGTTCTCAAGTACACCTGAGCAATTTCAAAATTTTAAGCAGTCTCTGCCTCCAATGACTTTAGTATAATTTTCGCTGATGCGAAGTAAAATATAGTTATAAAACTAAGCAGCCTATGACCTTGAAAATAAGTTAATATGATACCAAATTTGGTTGTAATCCATTCAGGATTTCGGCGAACAATTGAGTTGAGCCCTTTCGCTATATATTTTAATATTGTCAACAACTAAAGGTATTTAGCCGACTTTGATCCTTGCAAGAGTATGAAATGTTCGGTTACGTCCGAGCTTAGCTCTTCCTTACTTGTTATATATATAGGTAAACAAACACATATATTATATATAGTAACAGAAATTTTATGATTAAAGGAAACACAAAGTGTATGAAAATCAAATACTGGAAATACAAAACGGTTTTAACGAGAAGAAATTAAACGGACGCGAAACTATAAACAAAAAATAAATAAAAACTTTAAAACTCCAGCAACAAAACGCTTGCATACATATACATGATACCCTTGAACCGAAGCAAAGTGAGTAGTGTTTTTTCCATTAACTATAACTGTTTCCATGTAACTAAAAATTCCTTTTAACAGATTAATATAACGATTACAAACCGAAACGAATTTTCGGTTTATTTTACGGGAAAAACAGTTTGTTATTCAATATATATAAGTAAATACCCATATATGTATATTTATAAATTAGATATGAAAAAATGATACTTAATCAAATATCTACAATTAATTGCCTTAAGTATATGCTTTCCATCGCGTACTCAAAACACACTTTTTCCTCCAACAAAACAAAATATTTAAATATCTAATTACAAATTTGTCCGGCAATACCCCTTATACTTAGTAAAGCAGTAAGCAGGATTGCTTAATTAAGTTAGCAAAGACCGATTTCGCACTGCGATGAAAGAAGGTAATATCGGTCGAATAGGTCCTAAAATATGAATTTTCACCTAAATGTGGGCGGTGCCACACCTATCGTCCCCGGATCATATAAAGTCCTCTTGTAGCATCTCGGGTGTAAAATTTAATGTTTCTGCGGTATTTATTTATTGATTTATCGCGCTTTCAGTGGTTTTTAACAGAACCTTTATATGAGGAGAGGGCAGGGTTATCATCCGATTTCATAAATTTTTACAGTGTCGATAGAGTACGTGCTTAAGGGATTTCTCTTGAACGAATTTGGTTATTATATTTTAAGTAGTTTAGTAGATATGTACCTTAAATCATTTAGTGGGCGGGGCCCCACGCTCACAGGTGTTTCTTGCAACTCCGATCTCGTGTGCCAAACTACAGTTTTGCATCTAAGTTTAGTGCTGAGTTATGACACATGCGTGGTGGCGTGGTAGTCTGATAACGCTCATCTACGAACTCGTCCAAGGACAATGTATACCAAGTTTTATTACGATATCTCAACGGACAGACGAACGAACAGACAGACGATTTCAACTCGTCTCGTCATCCTGATCATTTATATATATATATATCCATATTCATCTCAATTAGTTTTAGATGATTCAAACAACCGTTAGGTGAACAAAACTATTATACTCTCAATTATAAATAAAGAAAAAAAGATTGGAACGCAAGTAAATAAAACGGGAACGCATATATAGAACCTAACGATTCAGATCTACTGCTTAGACCAGTATAAAGCAACAAAGGCTTATATCTCCGACAAACTAAAGCTATTAAATTTAATTGCCCCTATTCTAAATCTGAGAGTAGAGATGCCACAAACACAAATTCAAGAGGAAAATTTAGGCATCCATCTCAAGGTGCCCACATGTGACACAGAAATATTTTATGAATGTTATGAAGAATGGCTGCTCTTCGGGGATATTTTTACAGCCGTATACATAAACCATCCAAAATGATCACAAGTACAAAAATTGTATCACCGCCGATACAAAACATAAAGTCAAGCAGGCGTCATAGTCAAATAGTTCGCATGAAATGATGAACTTTAATTTTGTTTGGGAAGCTCTTAGATCAAGATACGAAAATGAAAGAATATTTGTCGATAAAAGAGTCACGATATTAATGAACTTGGCTAAAATTCAAAAATAAATAAGTGAAGAATTTATCAAACTTCAGTGCACTGTTTTAATTTGTTTATCGGTTTCATTGACACAAAACTTTCCTACTGTCAATTGGGATCCTATTCTGGTAAATATTATACCTATTATATGTATACAACTTTTCATGTTACTATATAAACTGCTCTGAGAGCTGGCGAGTTAACAAAAAAAATTTTATACATTTACTATTTTAATATAAGATCAAGAAATTTATGAAATTTATAGTTAAAACAGGTTTCGGTAAAGTACTTTATTCCTCAATAATACACGTGTCTTTGTTTAAAAATAGTAACTTGTTGAAGATTTTAGCATTTAGCACTGTTCTCCTATCTGATATTAGCAATCTTAACATTCTCTCTGACTCTGTAAAATTTACATTAATTAACGGGATATTCGTTTATATGAATAAGTTGCTGTTGGATCTAGAAAAGAAGGGGGTACATGGTGGCTTCATGCAGACGATGTGGCGAGTTCAGAAGGTAAATTCGAAACTCTGGCAAACCTTATGCAAACGATCTTGGACGATATAAATCTTGGGCTGTATCGTGCGGATTAAACTTAAATGCTGGTAAGACAGAGTTGTTCACCGGAAGCACAACACCCAGAGTTACGGCGCCAGTATTAAATGGTAGAGATTAACTATTGGAGATAAGGCAAGCTACTTAGGACTAACCTAAGACTGGAAGCTTTGAAACAAAACTCGGATGCTAGGTGAGAAAGCGCTGCCACTCTACACCTGTAAATAGATGGTGGGCTCAAATAGGGCTAACGCCTCGATAGCTTATTGGCTCCACACAGCAGTTGCTGACGGATCTATGACATACGGTATATTGGTATGGTGGCCAATAATGGAAAGAAATACGCTGGGGCGTAGGAAGTATTCAAAGAGCAGCCAGTATATGCATTAGTGAGCTCGAACAACACTGCCAGGCACAACGTCATTCTACACTTATTGCCAACGATCTTCTGTGAAAGTGGAAGGCAGTCAGTCTCAGACCGAGGAATCCTCCAACGTCGCATCCAACAAGAGGCATTCTAGGTACTAGTTTTTCCTTTCTACCCAAACCACGGATTTCCGCAATCCAGAATTGAAGCAAATTCGGTCCAATATTGCTTCCCACCAGGAGTGGGAAGATACATGGGGACAGGAGCAGGAATTAGATCTACATGGATGGATCCAAACTAGACAAGCGAGTGGAGGTGGTGTCTTTCCGCAACATTAGACACCAAAATCGCTTCCGGTTAAGACCACTGCAGTGTCTTCCAGTCGGAGACTCAAGCAATCAAAGAAAACCTGGTATTGACAAAAGGTGCTCACAACAAGGAGCAAAAAAATATATGCGGATAGTCAAGCGGCCTTGAAATCACTGAAGTCTCCTAAGGTTTCATCGAAGTAATGAAAGAATGTCTTGTTCTATTAGAGGACCTAACATCCTACTTCCGATAAACCTGCAATGGGTTCCAGGGCATAATGATATCCCTAGTAACTGTGAAGCAGATGAACCAGCCAGACCAGGTACCACTTAGCATCTAACCCTGAAAAGAGGGTTTATGCTCTGGCAACTTGCAAACACTTAATCAGCGAACATACAATCTAGCGAGTCTCGGTGGAGACAATCAATAACTTGCTCTACTAGCAGACTAACGTGGCAGAAATTGAGCGTGGGTCGCATAAACCGACTATTAAAATTCAGGAATGACATAAGAATTCTGATAGAGTACTCAGATCACTGTCTAATTGGTAGACATGCCGGCAGTAGGTGTCTACAACGACTATTGTAGAAGCTGTCAGAAGTAGAAGAAGAGGAAACTGTAAACATCTTCTATGCGAATGTACAGGGAATCGCACCATCGGTCGGGGATTCTGACGACGTATCGAAGCTGACATATAAACTATTTGTACTGATGAGCTTCATCAGAAGAAAAGGTTGGTGCAGAGAGAGACGATAGAGTGAGGGAACATTAGTCCTGATGGTATTCAATGGACCTCCTATAGGCCTAGGTGTATGCTAGACAGCCACTCTACCTACTACCATTGACGATTTAAAGCCTGAACTCTTTTGCGGTTCAGATGTACTACAAAGAGACAAAATTTACTTATATTTTTGAACCATTTTCAACATATAATTGTTAACGATTGTAAACCTTTCTTTGTTCTTCTTATCGCCCACACTTAGCAGCCAACTTTTAACTAATCTATGGGTAAATTCATAATTTTCCATTATAATTAATCTATAAACCCGTTATTCAACAAATTTCGGTGAAGCAAAATTTTGGACAACGGATGGTCAGATATTTAACAACCTGCGAAAGTTATTCTGCTGCACATCCGCCTTTCGATAATATAAACAGAACCAGCTACGATTACAAAATAATTAGGACCTCTAGTCAGTTTTCAATCCCAAACGGGTAAGAAAAGCTTTAGAGACATTGCCTTATTGGTTCACTGAGCTTCATAACTCAGAGTAGAAAACAAAATCTTCTCAACCCAAACCAAGTGGATTTAATGAAGAGCAAAGCACATTAGACGCTTACTTAATTAAATGATTTCGCCAAACTGCCGATCGAAAAGAACGTCTTTACTCAGGGATTTCGAAAAGCTTTTAACAGAGTCGGTGCGCTCGTTGTATTACGAAAACTTGAGATATGCCAGATTGGTGAAAGAGTATTATAATGTCTTCCCATATATAGTTTCCATTAATCCAAAATGCAAAGCAAAATCAACAACTTTTCTCGAATACGTACAACGCGTACAATGGGATTCCACAGAGGAAATCAAAGCGATATTCTAAACATAAACTCATTTCGAATCTTGCTGATGAAGTGTTGTTTTCTCCAAAGAAAATAATCTAAATAAAAACAAACTTTTGTAAACATTTTAGTAGTAGAAAACACATATGTAATAATTGAATTCACTGTATAATAGTAAATACTGTAGACACCTACTAGACTTAAATTTCTGGGTTAATATTTGATATGATAAGTTACTTTAAGGTGATTCACTAATGCTTCCACATTAACATTTCGTCATTTGCTATTGTCGATAACTTTGAAGTACGACAAAAGCTTGACTGCTCAGTATATACCGTAGAGGAACAGCCATAGATGAATGTATAATGCATTAGCACAATAATAATATAATCAGTAAAAGAGCAAGTTCTGGTGTAACGAACATTTTATACTCATGCAACTTAAGAATCAAATCCGTTGAAATACTTTTAGGTGTCAATAAATGTTTATACTAAAGAATGTAGCGAAATAATTCAATATTCAATATTCGACGAAATCGTGAATGAGAAACCAAACTTGTATCATAATAAATTATGTTATAGGTCATAGACTCAATTAATATCACATCGTGACCAATCTAAAAGGTTTAAAGCTAGGTGGAAAGTCGTAAATCATATATTGGGTATATTGGGACAGAGACAGGTTACTGCATTAACTTTTGACATTTCTCAG